AATATTTTACGTTAATTATAATTCTTTTAATACTTTGAATAATCTATTTTAAGCAACTATTGAGTGAAAATGAGAGAGAGAGAGAGAGAGAGAGAGAGCTATAAATTGAAATATATTCCCAAAAGTCAGTCTCGACAACGAAAATGAAATTTTAAACATTCAAACAAATCGCTATAAAATGTATCCAAAAAACAATTTTCCAGATATTTCGCAATCGTTCATCCATTGCGTTCATCCATATCGTGGTTCAAATCGCACCGGACTCTAGTGATATGTGTCATATGGATCACCGGCACCGCCATCGGGTCGACGCAGCTGTTGATCAGTGAATCCAAACCATTCAAATACGGCGACCAATGGCTGTACGACTGCCGCGAGATATGGGTCCAGGGCTCACAACTGGGAAAGTTATACACCGTTATAGTGTTTTGTATCACATTTATATTGCCTATGATTGTGCTGTGTTTGGTCTATACGCTGATGGGCTGTACGCTAATCCGACACCATTTGCCCGGGAATGAGACAATTCAGCACCGGTTCGCCTCCAGAAGGATCAAGGTATGTCTCATCTGTTTCAATGCAATTTCAATTACATAGCTATTGCCACTCGTAATGATAAGTGTTTTGGATTTAAGGCTAAAACAATATGTGACAGAATTAAGGGGATTTTTTAAAATCCAAACAAACTGTGAATTTATTTTTTAGGGATTAATGAGTAAAATACAAATAAATTCCTGGAAGTCCGTCGAAAATAAGCAAAAAGTGCTTTTTAAATGAAATTCAATTCGTTTTGAAGTGTTTATTAAGTTTTTTTTAACAAATGATTGTAAACATGTTTGTTAGCACCCGCCTGCCTACATCCTGATCACTCTACTTATATTAAACGACTTATTTGAACCAGTTTATTGATTTTTATTTACAACACTTAAGTGTGTGAATGAGTATAAAATTATACAATCAAATATAAAGCGGAACATCAAATAAATATTTTATGTATGATTTAGTTAATTATATTTCTTTGTAATTTTATTTAGTAAATATTGATTTATTTTTTTATAAATTTTTTTTACAAAGTATTGTACTGTAGGGTATTTCTAAAAAAATAAAATAACTGTTAAACTAAACTATTACATCTATTCAATTTAGATACAATAATACAATAGCTCTCTCTCTCTCTCTCTCTCTCTCTCTCTCTCTCTCGGATACTCAAAATAAATGTCAATTCAATAAGTTTTCTAAATAAGAAAAATATACCATAGACAATGAAAATAACAAACTTACTTAAAACTTTTTATTTTTTGTATTTTTATTGTAGTCTTATACTTAAAGAATTTGTAGTGTTAAAAAATATTTTAGTTTTTTTGTCATTTTTCAAAAAGAAGTTTACCTTTATTTATTATATAACATTTCTATCGATTATTTTTGTTTATTTTTTCATAAATCTTGTTTTATATTCTTGTATAAAAGGTATTTTGTTTTGTTTTATGTGAATTATTCCGTGTAGTAATCCTTGCATTTTGTTTGATGATATTATTCATAAATTTAATCATAAACTGTTTACAACGTGGAAACTTAAGGGATTATGTTCATGTTCACAAATAATTAATTATTAAAAACGTGCAACTTTTTTGTCAATTAAAAAACTATAAAAATGTATTCATTATTAAAAACATCTTCATTGATAAGTAATAAATGATAATGGAGATTCACTACATTGTAACATTATAATAATTTATATTCATAGATATTCATAATATTTAATAAATAGTATCTGAAAATCAGAATATTTTATTAATCAACTGATAAAACTGATTTGTTAACGTTATGTTATATTATATTTGACTAATCGATATTGATTTATCCGTTGATTAATAAAAATATTGTCATTATTTTACGTAATGAAATTTTTTTCACAATTTTATATTATTTCACTATTTCACAGTACATTCGTTAAACATTTGTCAGCCTTTTAAACATAGGTCTCATCAATCAATTATAGTAAACCTAACTATTGATTGGATTTAAGTATTCAATACTAGAGTATATTATCTAAAGAAAATCAATAAAATTGTCAAAAGTTTCGGTTTGATTGATATAATGGTGTGTCCATGTTTGCATACTCTCATATATGTTTACCAACTTTTTATCTATACTGTACTGTATGACAGTATTTAAAATAAAAAACAAAATAAACTTCCCTAATGAATTTGAGCAATAAATAAGATATTTTATATATTTATTTCTTAACTTTCTCTCTCTCTCTCTCTCTCTCTCTCTCTCTCTCTCTTATACCGACTTTTGGGTTATAATAGATTTGAATAAAATAATAACTTAATGTTGAAATATAATACATTTTCAAATTAAAATTTTAATCAATTCCTGAAATATAATATTATCATTTATTTTATGAATTACCTAGAGTATTTATTTATTTTGATGTTCAGACATTAAATACATTAAACTTTACATTAAATTTGTATAAAACTAGATTAAATAATTTTATTTTTATACATTTAATAGGAAATTAAATTATTTATTTTGTATTTACGCACACATTATTCATATGTTAACTAAATTAAGTATTTATTAAATAATATATTTATAATAAATACTTTATAATCATTAATACATAATTATAATTTTATATTACATATTAATAGGAATTTGAATTATTATCTTATTTCACAATAAATTATATTTATAAATATTATTTTTATCTAATATAAGACAGTTTAATATAATATTTTAAATATTAGCGTATATTACATATATATCTTGAAGTATAAATCGATATTTAAAAATACATAAAATAATATTTAATGTCTTAAATATCTAGGTTTATATATTATTAGTACCGTACTATTAATATGTCTATAAAACTGTTTAGTACTGTACGATATTATAGACTAAATGTTTAAGTCAAAACTTAATGGACTATTAAAATGGATTTTAATAACTATGAAGTTTTCATGGCTTATATGTCAAAATAGTTTAGCAAATGATTTTAAAGAGCAGATTAACCACAGATTATAGTTTGTGACAAAACCCACAGAATTTCATTATTTTTTGAGTAAATTATTATATTTTTATATCAACTCTCAAAATCACATCGACTTAAAGGGCAAACATTCGCTCGTTTTGGCACTTATTGACTGAAAATATAAAACTTTACACAAAAAGTCAATGGTTTAGAAAACCATAAAGGTTATAAAAAATAAATACTGATTACAAAACGGTTCACTTATTTTGTTTAACAAGTCTTGTGAGTGAGTTTAGTTGACTTTTATTTTGTTTGACATAAGACTATAGATAGGGAGTACATGATTATACTGTATGTTATGAACATCATCAGTTTTAGATAACTACTTCTTTTTTATAAGTATTTATTATATTTTTTTCAAATTGTAACCCTCCAAGCAATTTTTATTGAGTAATGTTAAAGTTATGCTTTTTTTTGTTTGTTACGATAAATAAGGGGCCACCAGGGTGTTATCCATTTATGACAATGTATATTATATAAATGATCAATGATTTATATTTTCAAAAATACGGAACATGTTGAAAGTATTTATAATGCATTACCTTTGTTTGAAACAATGTATTTTCTTTATGATCCCATGGGTACACGTGTTGACATAAATAACAATATTAATATCGAAATTTGCAATAAAGTGTACCTTTTTAAAGGTATAAGTATATTTGGCACCATTTCCTGAAATTGATAAATCCCTAATATAACATGTTTTACGAGAGTATGTTTTTAAGATGTTTTGTCATATTGTAATATCAAATATTTGTAATCTCTAGGTATTACATGAGTTATTCTGATATATTATTATTAAAATATACTGTATACTGGTATATTATATATTTGTGAACATATTATAAAGTTTATAAATCAATGTTACACAATATATTTTTAAATTTTAGATATTTTGATTAATACTAACTAACTATAATTGATTGCATTTACTATTATTGTTTGTTTTTTAATTAAATTAACTTTAATAAATTTAATTAAATAAATAATTTTTAATTCATTTACCGGTAATTAAAATTTATTTTGTGTTAGAATTGTTTAGAATTTTACAGAATTACTCTCAAATAATTCATTCAATTCATTAATTTCATGTCCTATTTAATAAAACATAAAAAATGTAGTTTTCAGATTTCTTTTATTAAAATATAAAAGTACTTTACATTATTACGTAACAGGCACATCTTATTTATGATATATGATACTGCGAAATCATAAAAATAGTATTTATTAGATTTCTATACAAGTATTAAATAATACAGTATTGAATTGTTTAAAATATATTATGCACATATCGTTATATAAAAAACCATATAGTTACTTAAAGCTCAAGAATATTCTTTATTTTATTTATTATGAATTGAATGTCGAGTGGCATTCAAATTGAAGTTTCCGTATTTTGCGTGATTTATAATCATTTATCAGATTTCATACAATATATGCATTTTTGTTTGTTTTGTTAAATAAAACTATTGAAATAAATTACCGGCAATAGATAATTTATAATAACTTATATAGATTATTTATATATTAATATTTATATATATTAATATATATTAATCTCATCGCAAATCTAAATATTTCCATAACATAAGGAATACATGAATAATAGGAACTAAATATAGAAACTAATAAACATTGCGATACACGATAACATACACCAGTGGGACTAATACTTCGAGTGGCATTCAAATTGAAGTTTCCGTATTTTGCGTGATTTATAATCATTTATCAGATTTCATACAATATATGCATTTTTGTTTGTTTTGTTAAATAAAACTATTGAAATAAATTACCGGCAATAGATAATTTATAATAACTTATATATTAATCTCATCGCAAATCTAAATATTTCCATAACATAAGGAATACATGAATAATAGGAACTAAATATAGAAACTAATAAACATTGCGATACACGATAACATACACCAGTGGGAGTAATACTCATTTCATTGTCTTATACTTAAAGGTAATCAAAATGTTGTCAACAGTAGTGGTGATGTTTGCCATTTGTTGGCTTCCCATACAAATCTTCGGTCTTCTCGTATGGTTCTACCCCTCGTGGATACTAAACGCCGAGACAACCCTTCAGTACTACACTTTCGTCGGCATGTATTTCTTCTGCCACTGGATCTCAATGGCGCACAGGTAGCCATCATTTTGTTATAATGCATTTATTTAATTAGACTGGATATGCTAATTAATTATTTATATTATCATTTAAGTAATTATTTTCATTTGTTTCCAAAATTAAAATATCATTAATAGATATAGGATTGTAATATAATATAAATTATAAACAATATTCATAATTACCACTCATTTTGCTTTATTTCTATTTCTCCAACAGTTTTATGAATCCTATTATCTATTCATTTATGAGTGAAAATTTTCGGGTATTTAACGCATTTAATATATTTGTATATGTTTGTACTGTAGTGATATAGTGTATTTATTTTATTTTAAATACAATACAATAGACTCTCAATAGTCTCTCTCTCTCTCTCTCTCTCTCCAATAATAAAGTGAAATACAGTTTTAAAATAGTCATTATTTTTAATTAGATGCTTATTCTGTTTTTCAAAGTATATATTTTATTTTATTTGAAATATAGAAAATATAGAAAATGATAAGCATTTAAATATTTATAATTTATGCAATTTTATATTTATTGAATTTAAAAAGTTTTGCTTAATATTCTGTATAAATACTAAAATACTGCCTACACAAACAATTTAAATAAAATCATCTGTGTATGTGAATTTTATTTTGTTTTTATTTATACAACATTTTTGTTATTAACTTAGTTTATGTTTCAAAAAATAATATAATTTCAAATTAAACTTTGTAATTTCGAATATTAATTATATTAATTAAAAATTTTTTTTAATAGTACAACGCTTAATATATTAGCAAAGTATTATTTATTTATAATTTAATGGTTATCATTTAATTGAAAAAAATTCAATGAAGTCTCATGAAAATAAAGTAATTTGTTTTAAACACTAGTTATAAACAGAAAGAAAAAATCTCATTATAGAAAACTTTTTATCAAACTATTATTAATATTTAGTAATTTTAATGACGTCCATGAATGGACAGGAATTATGTAATAATTTATAAAACTTTTTATATTAATTATAAATAAGACTTAAAATATTTAAGAAAAATCTATTGTGTTTTTAGATGTAAAAAACAAAAGTTTCTGTAAAAGGACATTAATGAACTAAAATATTTATAAATTTATAATATTGAAAGAGAAATTTCATTATTAATATTATGATTACATTTCTGACATATTATATCATATGTAAAATATGTTAACAATATTACTGTAGGGAATATTTTACGTTAATTATAATTCTTTTAATACTTTGAATAATCTATTTTAAGCAACTATTGAGTGAAAATGAGAGAGAGAGAGAGAGAGAGAGAGAGCACAATGGAATTTGTGTTAATTATGTATTGACATACATGTACATCACTTGAAATCAATTAAAAAATGCATACAATCTTAAAAACTCTCCATAAATAGAAAATTAATTATTAGCTAAGTAGCCATAAATACAACAGACTTATAACATACCTGTCCACTCCGATAGCGGCCAAGGTATAGACCGATACGATCATTGAGCTTAACTGAACAAAGTTGACAATCGGACACATAATGGGTGGGAATATCCATCGGCCGAACATATATAGCGTGTAAGTGAATGGTATGGAGAAGAGAGCCATTCCTA